GTTTGCATAATTGTATAAAGTCATTATGTGGAAAGTAAATAAGGAAATTCATCTGCAAATCGTAAATGGAGCTTCAAAGTAAGAGCTGCAATGCTTGTTTGCCGTTACTGAGAGGCGTAGCAAGGCTTCTAATTCCTACTCATGCTACAGTATGTAGAGATGACACTGCTTGCATTGAGGAAAGAGCAGCTAAGCTCTGTTGCAACAGTGTTTCGTGAGTATTTTCTTGTTTGTGACTCATGATGGTAGGTGGAGGTTAAGCCATCAGATTGCGGTGCTGGTGTAAATTCAGCAGCAGCAGCATGCCCCTGTCGAATGAATGCATTTGCAACACTAACCCCAGCGCCTGTTGTTTCTAATCAGGCGGTGAACGAGTCGTGCTACCAGGGAGATGACTCCGTGCTCAAGTCCTTGGTGGAAATTGCAGACACAGCACCCAAATACCTGAGACCCAACCTGGAGGCCACCCTGCAGCTCTGTCTGAAGGTGAGAGATATTATGTAATATAGGAACGTTTGTTTTTGCATGGAAACTTAATTTAAGGGTTTGTTTGGCTGTCAGCTCTGTGACCGACATGTTGCCTTGTCTCTTCAGCTGTGTGCCGACACCAACCTGACAAACATGCAGAGGCAGTTGGCGCTGGAGGTTATTGTCACCTTATCTGAGACCGCAGCAGCCATGCTGAGGAAACACACAGCCATTGTGGCTCAGAGTGGTGAGAGTCTGGATCCCTTAAATGACTTTCGGTCACCCAAAGAAGTTGTATAGAAGAGTTGTAATACTTGCGCTTTGTGTCATCAGTGCCCCAGATGCTGGCTATGATGGTGGACCTCGAGGACGATGACGAGTGGGCCATGGCCGATGAGCTGGAGGATGATGACTTTGACAGGTAAGACACAAATCCACAGTTTATATAGTGTATCTGCAAAGTGCTCAGAGGTTTCAGAAAGTGATTGTACACTTGTGTTGTGTGATTTTCTTGTCACTCACCAGTAACGCTGTGGCTGGTGAGAGCGCCCTTGACAGAATTGCCTGCGGTCTGGGAGGGAAGATAATTTTGCCCATGATCAAACAGCACATCATGCAGATGCTGCAGAACCGTAAGTTAACCCGCTGTTAATGGAATATATTTAGTCACACGTGTAAAACATGAACATGAGATCAACCTACTGTGTTTGTCACCAGCTGACTGGAAGTACCGCCACGCCGGGCTGATGGCGCTGTCAGCCATCGGTGAGGGCTGCCACCAGCAGATGGAGGCCATCCTCCAAGAGATCGTCAGCTTCGTCCTCCTCTTCTGCTCCGATCCTGTAAGAGACGACTTGATTTACTTATTTAGTCACTCATATCACAGGACTTGTGTTCAAAGTTCTTGTATCATGGTAGTAAGTTTGGCTTCCTTTTCCCTCCTCAGCACCCAAGGGTACGCTATGCTGCCTGCAACGCTATTGGACAAATGGCCACAGACTTTGCACCAACCTTCCAGAAGAAATTCCACGACAAGGTAACCAATGCATCCGTTTAATTTAATGCCATAAATTAGAGGGGAAGTATGATGCAGGAGGAGACTCTGACCCTGCGTCCTCCTCCCTTCCAGGTGATCTCAGCCCTGCTTCAGACCATGGAGGACCAGAGTAACCCTCGGGTGCAGGCGCACGCTGCCGCCGCCCTCATCAACTTTACAGAGGACTGTCCCAAAACACTGCTGATCCCTTACCTGGACAGCTTGGTGCAGCACCTTCACGTCATCATGGTAGCCAAGCTGCAAGAGGTACAAATAATCCATACATTTGATTTGGTAAATTAAAAGGAACATTTATTTTCTGTTTATTGCTGTCAGTATTCTCAAGTGCGTCCTCCTCTCTCTTCCCAGTTGATCCAGAAGGGTACCAAACTGGTCCTGGAGCAGGTGGTGACGTCCATCGCCTCGGTGGCCGACACAGCCGAGGAGAAGTTTGTGCCATACTATGACCTGTTCATGCCCTCCCTCAAACACATCGTGGAGAACGCCGTGCAGAAGGAGCTCCGGCTGCTTCGCGGCAAGACCATCGAGTGCATCAGCCTCATCGGTCTGGCTGTCGGCAAGGAGAAGGTATGCCTGCACTGGATGTGAAACTCTCCACAGAAATCTTAAATTAAGGTGGCTGCCATCTTCACATATGTCCTCTTTTTGTTCTGTTGCTAGTTCATGCCAGATGCCTCCGCCGTCATGCAGCTGCTCCTCAAAACCCAGACAGACTTCAATGACCTGGAGGATGACGATCCTCAGGTGGGGACATAACTTTTAACCATCCATTTCTTTTTGACCATTGGAATATGGTGAACCTGTCGTCACGTTTTTGTTGCTTGTGGTTTAGATCTCTTACATGATCTCAGCCTGGGCCAGGATGTGTAAGATCCTGGGCAAGGAGTTTCAGCAGTACCTGCCTGTGGTGATGGGGCCCCTGATGAAGACGGCCTCCATCAAGCCTGAGGTGGCCCTGCTCGACAGTAAGTAACACAGCAGTTGTTTTTAACTAATAGACTTTTGGAAAATGCAGTATCTGAATATGTTCGTCTCTGCCTTGTAGCCCAGGACATGGAGAACATATCAGAGGATGACGGCTGGGAGTTTGTCAACCTGGGAGACCAGCAGAGTTTTGGCATCAAGACGGCCGGCCTGGAGGAGAAAGCCACTGCCTGCCAGATGCTGGTGAGTAGTTCAGTCCACTACAGCAGGAGAGCTCTGAGACGCATGAGTGTTATGCCAGACTGTCAGGATCCTGAGGGGGGTCGAAGGCAGATTTGGAATAGAACCAGATGTTACTGAGGTCATTGCTCGTGTTTCAGCCCTCTGTGTTGTGTTCCAGGTGTGCTATGCCAAAGAGCTGAAGGAGGGCTTTGTGGAGTACACGGAGCAGGTGGTGAAGCTGATGGTTCCTCTGCTCAAGTTTTACTTCCATGATGATATCCTTTTGTTCTGGACTTTTAAACCTTTTTAACTACAAATGCTAATATTTATAAAAGAATATGGGATTTGATGATGCCGTTTCCTTAACTGTCTCACGTGTGCGGGTGGCTGCAGCCGAGTCCATGCCCCTGCTGCTGGAGTGCGCACGGGTGCGAGGACCAGAGTACCTTACCCAGATGTGGCACTTTATGTGCGACGCTCTCATCAAGGCCATCGGCACCGAGCCAGACTCTGATGTCCTGTCAGAGATCATGCACTCTTTTGCAAAGGTAACTTTCCTGAAGTTTTCCATTTGAATATATTAAGGAATGTGGTGCAGTTTCTGACCTGACTGAGGGTGTGGGGTTTTTTTTATTCAAAGTGCATTGAGTTGATGGGAGACGGCTGTCTGAACAACGAGCATTTTGAGGAGCTGGGCGGCATCTTGAAAGGAAAACTGGAGGAGCACTTTAAGAACCAGGAGCTCAGACAGGGTGCGTCTTCATCACAGCCGTAGAGCTGAATTTTTACATTTATCCCTGAAACAAAACTCATATGAGAAGTGTGTTTATACCCAGTCCTCACAGAACACTTGTTTGTCCTTCACAGCCAAGAGACAGGATGAAGACTATGATGAGCAGGTGGAAGAATCATTACAAGACGAGGTAAAGGAACTGTTATGAAAACCTTTTGTCCGATAACTGTTCCATCTGAAACAATGGTGAGCCATCAGTTTTCCCTTGTCTTTTTTTTTTTTTTTTTTTGCTATTCCAGGATGAGAACGACGTGTACATCCTGACCAAAGTGTCCGACATCCTGCACTCAGTGTTCAGCAGTTACAAAGAGAAGGTGCTGCCTTGGTTTGAGCAGCTGCTGCAGCTCATCGTCCAGCTAATAGTGAGTACTTCCTGTTTTCAGATTGGCAATGAATGAATGAATCAATATATCTGTCTGCAGTGATGTTGTGTGCATTAGTATTTGTTCTCTGTATCTTCACTTCAAGTCCAGAAATTGAAATTGTTCTTCTTCATGTCTTTAGTGTCCCAACAGGCCGTGGGCGGACAGACAGTGGGGTCTGTGCATCTTTGACGACGTGGTAGAGCACTGCAGCCCCGCCTCCTTCAAATACGCCGAGTATTTCCTGCGGCCGATGTTGCAGTCACTGTGCGACACGAGCCCAGAGGTTCGGCAGGCAGCCGCCTACGGTGTCGGTGTCATGGCTCAGTATGGAGGAGAGAATTACCGCCCATTCTGTACAGGTATGTCCTGCTGCTTGTCTTCACCTGCAGTGTTGTTGGCAGTTTATTGCTTTTCGATAACTCTGCGTCTTTGTGTCTGTTTGATCCAGAGGCCATCCCCCTGCTGGTCCGGGTCATCCAGGCAGCTGACTCTCGCTCAAAGGAGAACGTCAACGCTACAGAGAACTGCATCTCTGCTGTAGGAAAAGTCATGAGGTTTCGGCCGGAGTGCGTAAACGTTAATGAGATCCTCCCCCACTGGCTCGGCTGGCTACCGCTCAACGAGGACAAAGAGGAGGCCGTGCACACATTCGACTTCCTGTGTGACCTCATTGAAAGGTAGAGCCATGGAAATACCTTTTTGTTATTAGTTTTAAATCTGGGGATGTTCAAACTTGCAATTTTTCCTTTCCGTCGTCTCTCCACAGCAACAACCCCATCGTCCTCGGACCAGACAACGCCAACCTTCCCAAAATTTTCCTCATCATCGCAGACGGAGTTGCGAACGAATCGGTTAAGAGTGAAGACGCATGCAGCAAACGGCTGGCAAATGTCATCCGTCAAGTACAGGTGAGCGTCTAGCCGCAAGGTTTTATTTCGTCTTTTGATTTCCTTGTCGCCCTTTTTACATAGAAATTGTGTGATAGGGCCCCTATGAAGTCCCTTCATTACGCCGCCTTTGCTTTTTTAACACATATCCAAACCCAATGTGTGATTTTTAGATAGCGTGCTGACGTCCCGTAAGCAAAATAAGCATGTGTGACATAACATAGACGTTGACAGCACTTCCTGAACAGTAACAATGGCATAACATGGAAATAACAATCACTTACCGTCCCTGTTATATGGTGGTAGATCTGGTCCTCAGCTCTGATGGTAGGGAGCTCCTGGGCCTCATTGTGTCCCCAGTATGTGGACATTTTCAGCTGCTGTTCTTCAAGTTAGCTGCTAAGGTCACACCCGTCCCATCCTGCCAGCTGTCCCTTTTACACAGACATCAATATGGCGCTGGCTGCTGCAGGCTCTAAGGCGAGACAACCTTGTCTCCAGTTCCAAAGAATAACGGTGCGACATTCCCATCGAAATCTTTAAAACCCTATACTGTCTTCACATTTTAATCGCACTGAGGGGTTTGTAAAATGGAACTATCTCAAATTAATAACCATATTCCTACCTCTGCACAGGACCACATATGAATTTACTACTTACGTTTATACTTACTAGCAATGCTTGAATTTAAAAAATGTTTTGTCTTAAATGTGGTTAAAAATGATCTGGTCTTAAAATGCCTTCAATGGAAATGTATGAAGCTGACCCTTGTGTTGTGTCATCCAGGTGTCAGCAGGGTTATGGACACAGTGTGTATCGACACTGAACGAGACACAGCAGAAAGCCATACAGGACCTACTGAATACCGCCTGAGCCTGAACCCCCGGTCACCTCCCCGCTCTCTACAAAGCCCATGAAGAAAAGTTGAGCTCTTGGACCTCCTCCATACACTCCCTCTTCTTTCTCCTGCTCTGATCTGTAGTGTGTAAGGACGCCAGCCTTCGCAACCCCATCACCACCCCGACCCCACTATTATATAACCCCGCCCACATTCAGCCGACTGGGGGAGCAGGTTGGATATTTATGACAATGGAGGACATTGGCCATCCACCTCAAAGACTTTCACCCTGTATCCGAGGAAGTGGGAATCAGAGTAAAGTGTCCCCATCTTATCGGTCTTCTATCTGGACATTTTGTTTCCAACCATTCCCTGATGTTTGACTTTGTCTAGCCGTGCCCAGAGGGACTCATTCTCCACGTCGCCCAACGCAAACTCATTGGACAGTCTCAGAGGGGGCCACAGTGGGGGGAAATGGGGACAGGACATTCTCGTGGACTGAGCAATTGAATGAGGTGGAAATGCACACTGGGCGATCACTGCCTGTCTCCTGTGAATTGATTTTTCTTTTTTTTTCTTTTTTTTTTTTTTTTGTATTTTTATTTTGTTTATTTTCTCGTTCCGTGTTCCCGGCATTACCTGGGGGGAAATAGCCTCTGTGTGCCACAACTCAGAGGGGATGTTTCAAAACGTAACGGCATGTTAAGTGGCTAACTCTAGAAAACATAAATAGTTAGAAAATTACGTCATCGTTGTCTGGGAGACTTGATTTAAGCAGCTTTCTTCCATAGCCTTCCAGATAGCTGTTCACATGATGAGTCTGAAGATGAAATGTTTGCTTAACGGTTCTCAGCCCTTTAGGTAGCAGTGTCAGAGTAAGGGGCTCTCGGAAACAGGAGCAATAACCTGTAGTTGGTCACAGCCAGATGGTGTGTGTGGCAAGTCGAAAGAACATGAATTGTAGAGTATTTGTAAACTGCGTGCTACCATTCTCTTAACTTTATGGTTTTGACCCTTTGCAGCCCTGCAGGTATGTGATGGAAAATACCAACAATAAAATTCCATTTGAGAATTCTGACACATTCTTTCCTTTGATTCATTTACCTTTCTGAAGGAATAGTTTAAAGTACACTTAAATGACGGATGTGGTTAATTCAAAATCTAAACTAGAATCACCACCTGTGGTTGTTTGCCTCTGCTAACCAGTCAAGTTGCAGTTTATGTCCATGTCTGTCCAGACTCGTATGTAGTGAAGACTTTGAAGGAATTCAGTTAAAGCTATCAGGTGTATTTTTGCCGAAATGTACGTTTTTATGCCTCTACATCTGTTCATCCCATTCTCGTGAACAGTTCTCAACAACACAGGAAATGTCTTCAAATTTACCACAAATGTCCACTTGGAGCATTTGAGATGTGTGGTCGAAGGTGAACTTCAGAATTCCTACACAAATGATGAGAAAATGTACATTTGGCACAAATGTTCACTTCGATCAAGAATGAATTTATTAGACGTTAGTGGTCAAAGGTCACTGTGACCTCACGAAATACATTTTTGGCTTTAGAATTCATATGCTCATTATGGCAGTCTTACACAAATGTCTTACAGGATAAAATAATAAAGTAATGACATTTTGTATCCAAAAGGTCAAAGTTCAACTTGACTGTGACATCACACTGTTCTGCAACACTTAATTGGTGACATTAATCTTGGGTGTCCAATTTGAAACTGCTGATTGTGTAGATCTTCTGTGCTGCTGCATGTTTTCAGGCATGGATATAAACAATAACTGCAACATCACGGGTTCATGGAAGCATACATACAACCACAGGGCGATCTTTCTAGTTTTACTATTGACATGTATGATTCCAGTGACGAATTTCCAGTGAGAAACATGTCTTGACTTGGACACAGTTTTTCCAGAGGAGGACCGATGACTGATAGAGCTTATAGGGTTAAGCTGAGAACTCCGATGAAACGAACTTTTTAGTATCGTATGAGTAAAACGTGTCCATATAGGTACTTGTGATGGAGAGTCTTGATTTGGGTAGCTGTGTTCAGTCTATTACTCTTGAGATTAAAAATGATCTGAAGCTCAATTCAGATTTTTTTTTTCTAATTATTTTTTGAGATCAGTAATAAGTATAGCACCTTCTGATCAACCTATATCAATTTCAGGCTTAAAATAACTTCTGGTTAAATCCCACCCACTTCAGCTAAAACAGTGGCCATTCGGAGTACATATACAGACACAGATACAGCTAAGAGTGTACTTGCTCATCCCTAAAAGCTTGTCACATAGTTCAGCAACAATCAACTGAAGCTCGATATCAGCAAATCAGTGATCCTGTGATGGACTTCTGAGGAAAGGACTCAAACTTGTAGCTGTGACAGTTGACTATGCTTCACCAGTTCAGTATCTGACCGAATGTCTCCATTGTTCCTGAGTTACAGCGTTTAATGATGGCCAGAAAAGTTTCTGCAAAACATGTCACAGTGAAGTCGACCTTTGACCTTTTGGATATAAAAAGTCTTCATTTTATCCTCATTTCACATGTGTGAAATGTTGCCATTATTTACAAATGAATTCTCAAGTTATGGCAAAAAACATGTTATGTGAGGTCACAGTGACCTTTGACCCCCAAATTCTAATAAATTTATTTTCGAGTCCAAGTGGACCTTTATGCCAACTTTTAAAAATTCCCTCAAAGAAATTCCCTTAAGGTGTTCCTGAGATATCACATTCACAAGAATAAGACAAATGGGGTCACAAAGGCCTTGACCTTTGACCACCAAAATCCAATGAGTTTGTCATTGAGTCCAAAGTTGAAAAAAAAAAAATCCCTCAAGCTGTTGAGATATTGCGTTCACAAGAATGAGACTGATGAGGTCACAGTCTAATGAGCTCATTGTTGAGTCAAAGTGAACGTTTGTGCCAAATTTAAAGAAAACCCTCAAGGTATTCTTGAGATATCACTGTCACAATAATGATAGATGATGTCACACAGACCGTGACCTCATCTATCATTATTGTGACAGATGCATGAAGTTGTTCTTGAGGTATTGCGTTCACAAGAATGAGATGGATGTAAGGTCACACCAACCTTGACTTTGGACCTTTGACCACCAAAATCTAATCAATTCATCACTAAGTCCAAGTGAACATCTGTGCCACACTGAAGAAATTCCCTCAAGGTGTTCTTGAGATATCACGTTCACAAGAATGAAACGGACAAGGTCACAGTAAGCTTGACCTTTCACCTATGACCACCAAAAACTAATCAGTTCATCGCTGTGTCTAGTTTGTGCCAAATTTGAAGAAATTCCCTCAAGACATTTGAGATATCGCGCTCACAAGGACAGGGCATACGTACGTTTGTATGTATGGATGGACAACCCGAAAACATAATGCCTCCGGTCACAGCTATTGCGGGTGTGGAGGCATAAAGATTAATACGGAGAAATTATAGCTGAAATGTAAATAAAAATAATGAAATTCATCTCTCATTATTTCAATTTATAAATGTGCTTTTGACTAACATTATGACACCGCTGTGAAGACACCATCAGTGAAACTGGCAACCAACCTCCACCAGCAGTGCTTCAGTGTGTAGGGTTCGTCTCCTTATATTTTACATCCACCATCCATGTGCAGCTACCTCTATAAAACTGTCTACACCTGGTCTGACGCTGTACACATGAAGCTCTTTACCTGTTTGTTTGGCCCCAGGCACTTGACAGACATCGGTTGTTTCAACAGAGCAGCCATGCTTTATTAGGACATCTAGACCAACAGCAAAGAAAAGTTTAAATTAAAGCTTTCAACCAAACTCGAACAGTCATGGATGGTGACCCCGGCCCCTTCTGTGGACAGCTGGAAATGTTTATCCGACCTTTACAAACCCCCCAAAATATACATATGCATGTTGTTCAGCCTATAGTAAATACGCTCAGGTGCCGGTCTGTTAGGTAGCTATAACTAATGCAGTCTAATACTATAAACTGGCATCAGAGTGTAGTTCCACAAGTTGATTCAGCATGGAGAAATGTGCTTTCTGTACATACAAGAAGAGAATTTAAATCACGGTAGATTCCATTGGGGCCCGTTTGCAAACATTGAAGTTGGCAGTTTATATACCCAGACCAGCTGGGAACACCTGGCTAGGTTAAATGAATGACAGGCTTTTCACTTCCAAGATGCCTCTGAGCAACTCTCAACTGCTACTTGTCGATGTTGAGAACGTAAAGCAGGGCATTTCTTGAACACAACACGTCTTGTTTGCAAAGGACTAGCATCCGCTGTGAGGCTAAGTGCAGTTTATTTGACTAGCTTTTCAAGATTTGAAGAACCTTCACTGATCTTTCACCTCCGATATGATCAGACAGGCCATCATGTCGAGGAAACTTTCAGTAGTGTTCAGCAGGGAGGGAGGGTGGATCATTTATAGTGAGCTACGGTTTACAAAAAGTGCAGGT